GAAGCTGATCAGTTTGTCGTTGGTATTTAGCTTGAGATTGCTGATTTTTTCTATGAAGTGGGCTGAGTCCTTCATGTAGTGTGTTGTGAGCCCAATATAGCTTTGTAACTATGCAGCAAGAAATTTTGCTAGGTCGTATGTGCAGCAGAGAGGAAACAACCAGGCACATCTTAACACCTCTCAACAAAACATTTTCCCAGGCTCAGCCAGGCCTTCAAATGCTAATCAAGGTGGTCAGTTGAAACATTCACACCCAGCTCCAGCAGAGAAGAGCTCTGTGCCCCACCCCAGCCATTCCACAGATATATAAACCCATTGTCCTAATTCTAACAGACCTCACTACCTCTGAGGATGCTTGCCATAGTTGCAGGTGAAACGTCAGGAAAAAATGCCTCTAGAACATGGCCCTATAGCCCGAAAAAAACCCACAAGAACCTAGTGATTCCAGCCATGAAAGCCTTCGACAATACATATGTATACTTAGCTATGCAGTGTGATGGCTAATGTAAACATTCGGAAGAATCATGTGCTCTAGCCCTCTGAAAACTCTTGTATTTCAAACTGCTGGTAGAAAGATACACCCACCATAGATGTGGGTGAAACGTCAGGAGAGAATGCTTCTGGAACATGGCCACTCACAGCGACCTATCCCTCCATGTTTTACATTACTTAATTTACAAAGCTGAAAAGCCAGCCTGATGTTCTTCTTTAAAGGCAACTGGATATGCCGAGGAAAGGAAGAGAGCAAACCAGGATGGTATGAAACATGTAGTAAGGGGGCCGAGGGGTTAAACTTCCCAATTTACAAAATAGCAGGAGTTCAAGCAATATTATACAGCGAGGAAGGGGCATTCTCCATGCAAGCAAGAGCGTAACTTCAATGCAACATGCAAGTGAAAAATCAAAATATTTCGCTTTTGTACTTCTAACGGTGGGGAAATAAGAGGTTTCAGCAGAAATGGCGCCTGCCGGTTAGGAGAACTCACCTGGGAAGATAAACTGTTGTCTATGCTGAATGTAGTAGGCAGCTTTTGTAAGGAAGGAAAGGAAAAGAAAGGAAAAGACAGAGGGGAGAGGACAGCAAATACAAAATAAACAAGATCACAAGAGATTAGCATGTGAGAAGATTACTGTGTCAGCAACTGCTCCCATATAAATATATCCAGCGAATTAATCCCCATTCATCATTAGTAAATTGTGAACAAGCAATTCATAAACACAAGTGTGCAATTGAGCGCATGCATATCGAAGAGGTTGCAGCTGTGTTGGAGAATGCCTTCTTTTTCTTCTGATTCAGACAGAATACTTCACTTTCTAACAGTGGCTACGATAGAACGCCTCTAAACTCCTGGATTAAAACTATCACCTTGTCTGTCCAGTTCTCTCAATCTATCAAGGATCATTTCCCCTCCTCAAATCCTTCTTCCAAGGAAAAAGACAAAATACAATTAAAATACATTCCTGTGCAGTATGCTGAATGACAAGGCCCTCAAAACAGAGTTTTTCAGACTTACACTGATGGTAAACATACTTCCATTGAAATAGATTTCATTACACAAAGAGCGGAGGGAAAAAGAAACAGCCGGATCCATTCAATTGAATTCTGGCCTTGACAAGTTTATTATACAGAAATATTTTTGCAATCTGTAAACTTATTACCGTATATACTTGAGTATAAGCTGGATTTTTCAGCCCCTTTTTAAGGTTGAACAAGCCCCCCTCGGCTTATACTCGGCTTATTATTTCACTATTTATTATTATTATTATTATTATTATTATTATTATTATATCTATTATTTCACTCAATTTATGATTATTACTAGCTGTACCCGCGACGCATTGCTGTGGCCAACCTTCCCTCTTTCTCTTCTTCTTTCCCTACTTCCTTCACTCCCTCTTTCCTTCCGTCCTTCCTTCCTTCCTTCCTTCCTTCCTTCCTTCCTTCCTTCCTTCCTTCCTTCCACTCTTTCCTTCTCCTCTTCCTTCCTTCTCTATTTCTTTCCTTCCTTCTCCCTTTTTCTTTCTCTTCTGCTGTCTCTCTTTTCTTTCTTCTCTCTTTCCTTCCCTCCCTCTTTCTCTACATCTTCTTTTTATGAATGTGGCAATTTTCTCTGCCTTTTATAGAATCATAGAATCAAAGAGTTGGAAGAGACCTCATGGGCCATCCAGTCCAACTCCCTGCCAAGAAGCAGGACTATTGCATTCAAATCACCCCTGACAGATGGCCATCCAGCCTCTGTTTAAAAGCGTCTAAAGAAGGAGCCTCCACCACACTCTGGGGCAGAGAGTTCCACTGCTGAACGGCTCTCACAGTCAGGAAGTTCTTCCTCATGTTCAGATGGAATCTCCTTTCTTGTAGTTTGAAGCCATTGTTTCCGCGTCCTAGTCTCCAAGGAAGCAGAAAACAAGCTTGCTCCCTCCTCCCTGTGGCTTCCTCTCACATATTTATACATGGCTATGATGTCTCCTCTCAGCCTTCTCTTCTTCAGGCTAAACATGCCCAGCTCCTTAAGCCGCTCCTCATAGGGCTTGTTCTCCTGACCCTTGATCATTTTAGTCACCCCCCCTCTGGACACATTCCAGCTTGTCAATATCTCTCTTGAAATGTGGTACCCAGAATTGGACACAATATTCCAGGTGTGGTCTAACCAAAGCGGAATAGAGGGGTAGCATTACTTCCCTCGATCTAGACACTATGCTCCTATTGATGCAGGCCAAAATCCCATTGGCTTTTTTAGCCGCCACATCACATTGTTGGCTCATGTTTAACTTGTTGTCCACGAGGACTCCAAGATCTTTTTCACACGTACTGCTCTCGAGCCAGGCAGTCCCCATTCTGTATCTTTGCATTTCGTTTTTTCTGCCTAAGTGGAGTATCTTGCATTTGTCACTGTTGAACTTCATTTTGTTAGTTTTGGAAAAAGGCGTAAGAGACGAAAGACAACGGAAGCCGATCCGAATCAGCCAACGCCGGCCCCTCTTGTGTTCTGCCTCGTAGGAGAGGAGAGCTTCCCATCAACTCTGGAAGCTCAAACAAATCTTCCCCCCCCCCCCCCCCCCCCCCCCCCCCCCCCCCCCCCCCCCCCCCCCCCCCCCCCCCCACCCAACCAATCACTGATATATATTTTCTGTTCGTTGTGGGAGTTCTGTGTGCCATATTTGGTTCAATTAAATCATTGGTGGAGTTCAGAATGCTCTTTGATTGTAGGTGAACTATACATCCCAGTAACTACAACTCACATATGTCAAGGTCTATTTTCCCCCAAGAACGCCTCAAGAGTGCCCCTGGACAAAATCAACTATATTGCAAATGCTTACTTTTGGGTTGAGCCACCCCTGCTCTCTCTCTCTCTCTCTCTCTCTCTCTCTCTCTATCTATCTATCTATCTATCTATCTCTCTATCTCTCTATCTATCTATCTATCTATCTATCTATATCTATCATCTATCTATCTATGTTAGGGTGGTGGCAGAACTCTGCCACGCATTGCTGTGGCCCAGTCTGTTGATCTGGGAAATAAAGTAATGAGAAATGTTGGTTTCTAATATATGTAATTTCTTTATGCTTGTGGGTAAACAGTATTTCTTGCTGTTTCTTTGTCAGTGTTGATGTGGAGAGTGTCTGGTTTGCCCACCCTGGAACATGCAACATATCATTGTCCTTCTTTAAGGGTCCCTTTCAAATCTATGATACTATATCTCTCTGTGTGTGAATCATATCTATTTATCTATATCTATGGCTGGATGGCTCTTTGTCAGGAGGACTTTGATTACGTTTTCTTGCCCTGATGAAGGAGTTGGATTGGATGGCCTTAAGTATTTTCTGTTGGTCATGGGGTTCTGTGTGGGAAGTTTGCCCCGATTCTGTTGGTGGTTCAGAATGCTCTTTGATTGTAGGTGAACTGTGAATCCCAGTGACTACAACTCCCAAATGTCAAGGTCTATTTCCCCAAACTCCATCTGTGTTCATATTTGGGCGCATTGAGTGCTTGTGCCAAGTTTGGTCCAGATCCATCATTGTTTGAGTCCACAGTGCTCTCTGGATGTAGGTGAACTACAACTCCCAAACTCAAGGTCAATGCCCACCAAACCCTTCCAGTTTTTTCTGTTGGTCATGGGAGCCCTGTGTGCTACGTTTGGCCCAATTCCATCATTGGTGGAGTTCAGAATGCTCTTTGATTGTAGGTAAACTATCAATCCCAGCAACGACAATTCCCAAATGACAAAATTATTTTTTTTAGTGGAGGACATAAATTGGACTGTTAGGTGTCTTGTGTCCAAATTTGGTGTCAATTCCCCCAGTGGTTTTTGTGTTCTGATGGTATCACAAACGAACATTACATTTTTATTTATATAGATTGTAGATGCATACATGTGCCCTTCTTCCCAAAACAAAACAACAACAAAACTTTATTAATATACCGCTCTATCTCCCCGAGGGGACTCAGAGCATTTTCCAAGTAACACCATCAATACATACAACGTAAACAACATAAACATAAAATAAAAGAGGGAGATGTTTACCTCTTCTGCATCACATTCCTCAATGCCATCTGCCTCTAGATGTTCAGCAGCACTATCCAAGGGAGAAAAAGAAACCAATAGGTTGATGTAGACCGAACATTGCAATGGTAATGGGAAACGCTGAAAGATATCTGATGTATCATGGAAAAATAATGTAAAGGGAAAACCCAAAATTGGCCAAATTGGGACTGAGCATGCTCAAAAACCCTTAAGTGCAGCTCAAACAGCAAACATATCTAATATCTGAACCAAAGACAGACTTACTTAGTACATTCAGTAGTTTCAGGAGGCTGTATCACTTGCGGAGGATTGGGTATTTCTACAGAAAACAACAGATAGGAAAGAGATTCAGTGTTTGTTGTTAATAGCTGCTTTAACAGTCAACTTATGTATACTTCGGTTCTTGTGGGTTTTTTCGGGTTATAGGGCCATGTTCTAGAGGCATTTTTTCCTGACGTTTCGCCTGCATCTATGGCAAGCATCCTCAGAGGTAGTGAGGTCTGTTGGAATTAGGACAATGGGTTTATATATCTGTGGAATGGCTGGGGTGGGGCAAAGAGCTCTTCTCTGCTGGAGCTGGGTGTGAATGTTTCAACTGACCACCTTCATTAGCATTTGAAGGCCTGGCTGAGCCTGGGAAAATGTTTTGTTGAGAGGTGTTAAGGTTGTTTCCTCTCTGCTGTTTTGCTGTTGTAATTTTAGAGTTTTTTAATACTGGTAGCCAGATTTTGTTCATTTTCATGGTCTCTTCCTTTCTGTTGAAATTGTCCACATGCTTCTTGTGGATTTCAATGGCTTCTCTTTGTAGTCTGACATGGTGGTTGTTGAGTGGTCCAGCATTTCTGTGTTCTCAAATAATATGCTGTGTCCAGGCTGGTTCATCAGGTGCTCTGCTATGGCTGACTTCTCTGGTTGAAGTAGTCTGCAGTGCCTTTCATGTTCCTTGATTCGTGTTTGGGCAATGCTGCGTTTGGTGGTCCCTATGTAGACTTGTCCACAGCTGCCTGGTACACGGTAGACTCCTGCAGAGGTGAGAGGATCCCTCTTGTCCTTTGCTGAACGTAGCATTTGTTGGATTTTCTTGGTGGTCTGTAGATTGTTTGTATGTTGTGTTTCCTCATCAGCTTCCCTATGCGGTCAGTGGTTCCCTTGATATATGGCAGGAACACTTTTCCTCTGGGTGGATCTCATCTTTACTCTCGTGGCTTGTTCTTGGTCTTGCAGCTCTTCTGATGTCTGAGGTGGAGTATATTGGCCTGAAGAGCCCAGTTTAGGTGGATCTTTACTCTCGTGGCTTGTTTTTGGTCTTGCAGCTCTTCTGATGTCTGAGGTGGAGTATCCATTGGCCTGGAGAGCCCAGTTGAGGTGGTTCAGTTCATCTTGGAGGAAGTGGGGTTCGCAGATTCTTTTTGCACGGTCTGCCAAGGCTTTAATGGTGCTTCTTTTTTGACTTGGGTGATGGTTGGAGTTTTTATGTAGATATCTATCTGTGTGTGTGGGTTTTCTGTAGACGGTGTGACCCAATTGTTGATCTGGTTTGCGGATGACTAGGACATCTAGAAAGGCAGTCTTCCTTCATTTTCTTTTTCCATGGTGAACTGGATGTTTGGGTGGATGCTGTTAAGATGGTCCAGGAACCTGTTGAGTTCTTCTTCTCCATGGCTCCAAATGGTGAAGGTGTCATCCACATATCTGAACCATATCGTGGGCTTTTTGGTTGCTGTCTCCAGGGCTTGTTTTTCAAAGTGTTCCATGTAGAAGTTAGCTATGACCGGGCTGAGAGGGCTCCCCATAGCTACTCCATCTTTCTGTTCGTAGAATTCATTGTCCCACTGAAAGAAACTGGTGGTGAGGCAATGGTGAAACAGAGCCGTGATGTCTTCTGGGAACCTCTGGTTGATGAGTGCCATGGTGTCTGCTACCGGGACCATGGTAAATAGAGATACCACATCGAAGCTGATCAGTTTGTCGTTGGTATTTAGCTTGAGATTGCTGATTTTTTCTATGAAGTGGGCTGAGTCCTTGATGTAGTGTGTTGTGAGCCCAATATGGCTTTGTAACTGTGCAGCAAGAAATTTTGCTAGGTCGTATGTGCAGCAGAGAGGAAACAACCAGGCACATCTTAACACCTCTCAACAAAACATTTTCCCAGGCTCAGCCAGGCCTTCAAATGCTAATCAAGGTGGTCAGTTGAAACATTCACACCCAGCTCCAGCAGAGAAGAGCTCTGTGCCCCACCCCAGCCATTCCACAGATATATAAACCCATTGTCCTAATTCCAACAGACCTCACTACCTCTGAGGATGCTTGCCATAGATGCAGGCGAAACGTCAGGAGAAAAATGCCTCTAGAACATGGCCCTATAGCCCGAAAAAAACCCACAAGAACCTAGTGATTCCAGCCATGAAAGCCTTCGACAATACATATGTATACTTAGCTATGCAGTGTGATGGCTAATGTAAACATTCGGAAGAATCATGTGCTCTAGCCCTCTGAAAACTCTTGTATTTCAAACTGCTGGTAGAAAGATACACCCACCATAGATGTGGGTGAAACGTCAGGAGAGAATGCTTCTGGAACATGGCCACTCACAGCGACCTATCCCTCCATGTTTTACATTACTTAATTTACAAAGCTGAAAAGCCAGCCTGATGTTCTTCTTTAAAGGCAACTGGATATGCCGAGGAAAGGAAGAGAGCAAACCAGGATGGTATGAAACATGTAGTAAGGGGGCCGAGGGGTTAAACTTCCCAATTTACAAAATAGCAGGAGTTCAAGCAATATTATACAGCGAGGAAGGGGCATTCTCCATGCAAGCAAGAGCGTAACTTCAATGCAACATGCAAGTGAAAAATCAAAATATTTCGCTTTTGTACTTCTAACGGTGGGGAAATAAGAGGTTTCAGCAGAAATGGCGCCTGCCGGTTAGGAGAACTCACCTGGGAAGATAAACTGTTGTCTATGCTGAATGTAGTAGGCAGCTTTTGTAAGGAAGGAAAGGAAAAGAAAGGAAAAGACAGAGGGGAGAGGACAGCAAATACAAAATAAACAAGATCACAAGAGATTAGCATGTGAGAAGATTACTGTGTCAGCAACTGCTCCCATATAAATATATCCAGCGAATTAATCCCCATTCATCATTAGTAAATTGTGAACAAGCAATTCATAAACACAAGTGTGCAATTGAGCGCATGCATATCGAAGAGGTTGCAGCTGTGTTGGAGAATGCCTTCTTTTTCTTCTGATTCAGACAGAATACTTCACTTTCTAACAGTGGCTACGATAGAACGCCTCTAAACTCCTGGATTAAAACTATCACCTTGTCTGTCCAGTTCTCTCAATCTATCAAGGATCATTTCCCCTCCTCAAATCCTTCTTCCAAGGAAAAAGACAAAATACAATTAAAATACATTCCTGTGCAGTATGCTGAATGACAAGGCCCTCAAAACAGAGTTTTTCAGACTTACACTGATGGTAAACATACTTCCATTGAAATAGATTTCATTACACAAAGAGCGGAGGGAAAAAGAAACAGCCGGATCCATTCAATTGAATTCTGGCCTTGACAAGTTTATTATACAGAAATATTTTTGCAATCTGTAAACTTATTACCGTATATACTTGAGTATAAGCTGGATTTTTCAGCCCCTTTTTAAGGTTGAACAAGCCCCCCTCGGCTTATACTCGGCTTATTATTTCACTATTTATTATTATTATTATTATTATTATTATTATTATTATATCTATTATTTTACTCTATTTATTATTATTACTAGCTGTACCCGCCACGCATTGCTGTGGCCAACCTTCCCTCTTTCTCTTCTTCTTTCCCTCCTTCCTTCACTCCCTCTTTCCTTCCGTCCTTCCTTCCTTCCTTCCTTCCTTCCTTCCTTCCTTCCTTCCTTCCTTCCTTCTCTCTTCTTCCTTCCTTCTCCCTTTTTCTTTCTCTTCTGCTGTCTCTCTTTTCTTTCTTCTCTCTTTCCTTCCCTCCCTCTTTCTCTACATCTTCCCCCTTCCTTCGCTCCCTCTTTCCTTCCTTCTTTCCCTTTTCATAGAATCATAGAATCAAAGAGTTGGAAGAGACCTCATGGGCCATCCAGTCCAACTCCCTGCCAAGAAGCAGGACTATTGCATTCAAATCACCCCTGACAGATGGCCATCCAGCCTCTGTTTAAAAGCGTCTAAAGAAGGAGCCTCCACCACACTCTGGGGCAGAGAGTTCCACTGCTGAACGGCTCTCACAGTCAGGAAGTTCTTCCTCATGTTCAGATGGAATCTCTTGTAGTTTGAAGCCACTGTTTTGTGTCCTAGTCTCCAAGGAAGCAGAAAACAAGCTTGCTCCCTCCTCCCTGTGGCTTCCTCTCACATATTTATACATGGCTATCATATCTCCTCTCAGCCTTCCCTTCTTCAGACTAAACATGCCCAGCTCCTTAAGCCACTCCTCATAGGGCTTGTTCTCCAGATCCTTGATCATTTTAGTCACCCTCCTCTGGACACATTTCAGCTTGTCAATATCTCTCTTGAATTGTGGTGCCCAGAATTGGACACAATATTCCAGGTGTGGTCTAACCAAAGCAGAATAGAGGGGTAGCATTACTTCCCTAGATCTAGACACTATGCTCCTATTGATGCAGGCCAAAATCCCATTGGCTTTTTTTGCCGCCATATCACATTGTTGGCTCATGTTTAACTTGTTGTCCACGAGGACTCCAAGATCTTTTTCACACGTACTGCTCTCGAGCCAGGCATTGTCCCCCATTCTGTCTCTTTGCATTTCGTTTTTCCTGCCAAAGTGGAGTATCTTGCATTTGTCCCTGTTGAACTTCATTTTGTTAGTTTTGGCCCATCTCTCTAATCTGTCAAGATCGTTTTGAATCCTGCTCCTGTCCTCTGGAGTATTGGCTATCCCTCCCAATTGGGTGTCGTCTGCAAACTTGATGATCCTGCCTTCTAGCCCTTCATCTAAGTCATTAATAAAGATGTTGAACAGGACCGGGCCCAGGACGGAACCCTGCTGATGGCACTCCACTCATCACTTCTTTCCAGGATGAAGAGGAAGCATTGGGGAGAATCACCCTTTGGGTTCGTCCGCTTAACCAATTACAGATCCACCTCACCGTAGTTTGCCTAGCCCACATTGGACTAGTTTGTTTGCCAGAAAGTCGTGGGGGACCTTGTCGAAGGCCTTACTGAAATCCAGGTACGCTTTCTTTCCTTCTCTCCTTCCTTCCTTCGCTAATATTCCTTCCTTCACACTTTTTCTTTCCCTCCCTCTTTCTCTCCTTTCTTCCTTCTCTACCACTTTCCTTCCTTCTCTCCCTCTCTTTCTTTCTTTCTTTCTTTCTTTCTTTCTTTCTTTCTTTCTTTATATTATATGAATATATAATATCAGTGTGTATTTTCATGTATGATGTGTGTTTAAATGTAATTTCATGTAGTAGAAATGTGATTGCAATAGGATTGTATTGCCAGGATGTATGTTTATGCAGTAGAGTTAAAAACAGCAAAGCAACAAGCTATGAGAATGTGACCTGTGACCCTGAGATGTCTAGCTGTGTGCAACTTTAAGGAGTTTAAGGAGTAGCTGTGAGATAACCACTAGCCAGCAGCAGTTTTGTTTTCGTTTCCCATTTCCTTTGTTCTGTGTACTTCACGTCTGCTCGCTTATGGTGATGGTTGTGTTTTGGAACTGCTTAAGTAAAACTGAACCTGCTTTTCTACTGACGACTCCAGAGTCCATTATTCTGAGTTTTTACAATACTTCTGCTGACGCTAACAATAAGGTTATGGGCCCTGACACGGACCGGGCATGTTAAAACTGGACCAGCTTGCTTGCAGAGTTGCTGACCAGTTTGGATGCTGTGTGCTGTTTGGACTGGAGACTGGAGCTTATCACCGAGAGTTCTTCCTTTTTTTCTGTATTGTCATTTAGCTTTTTGTCATTTAGCTTTTTGGGGCTTTTTAAGTCCCTTCTGCTGTGTTTTTCAGTGTTTTTATGAGTGAAGGACATACATTGGGTTGTTAGGTGTCTTGTGTCCAAATTTGGTGTCAATTCCCCCAGTGGTTTTTGAGTTCTGTTAATCCCACAAATGAACATTACATTTTTATTTATATAGTTTGTCTAAAACCAAAAAATTAATAATATTTTTAATATTACATTTATTTTAACTCTATTTATAATTGTTATTATTATATTTATTATTTTACTCTATTATTGTTATTATTACATTTATTATTTTACTGTTATTATTAAATTTATTATTTTACTCTATTATTGTTATTATTATATTTATTATTGTAAGACTAGCAAACTTTTGTGATTTGAGCTCTGGAGAAGGATTCACACAAAAATTAGCACCCAGCTAACTAAATAATACACATGTGGAACAGCAGTGGAACTCTCTGCCCTGGAGTGTGGTGGAGGCTCCTTCTTTGGAAGCTTTTAAACAGAGGCTGGATGGCCATCTAGCAGGGGTGATTTGAATGCAATATTCCTGCTTCTTGGCAGGGGGTTGGACTGGATGGCCCATGAGGTCTCTTCCAACTCTTTGTCTAGACTGTGTGATGTATTGGCGAATAATGCATGCAGATCCCAGTAAGGTGGCCTTCTGCAGCTGGCAGATGGTAATTTTGTCAGCGCCGATTGTGTTTAAGTACAGGCCAAGGTCTTTGAGGCACTGCACCCAGTGTGCCGATCACCACTGGGACCACCTTGACTGGCTTGTGCCAGAGTCTTTGCAGTTCAACCTTTAAATCCTCATATCGTGTCAGCTTTTCCAGTTGTTTCTCTTCAATACTGCTGTCACCTGGGTTTGCAACATCAACAATCCATACTTTGTTTTTTAACACGACTGTGAGGTCAGGACCAGATTGGCCAAGGGTCTGTTTAGATGCGAGGGCTTATCTGAACCATACATGGCTCAATATACACCAGCAACATGTCAAAATAAGAACTTCTTCTTCTTCTTCTTCTTCTTCTTCTTCTTATTATTATTATTAACATTATTACATGTATTGTTTTACTCTATTATTACTATTTTTAAAGTTTTTATTGGTTTTCATATTCATATTTTAAAAAAGAAAATAAGAAAATAAACGGAGTGACAATAAAAGTGTGGGAACAATTTGATTCAAGAAAAGTAGGAAAATATATAGAAAGATTGGGGGGGGGGGGAGAGACAAATATAGGTAAGTATTGTTACCAATACTTAAAAAAGGGGGACGACATACAAACAAACAAGCTGAGTTAAAAGTTTCGACTTCCAATCTTCTATTATTACTGTTATTATAACATTTCCATTATTTTACTCTATTATTATTACATTAATTATTTTACTCTATTGTTATTGGAAGAATACGTAAGCACATTTACATTGAAGAAGGTTAGAATAATGGCTTAATAATGGATAGTCTTATCTTAAATTACAGTTTTATGTAAATATTCAAAAACATTTAACCTAAGGTGATTTTATTGGTATCGATTTTTATTTTGAAATGTACCAGGAGCTGCTGCATTTCCCACCCTTGGCTTATACTCGAATATAAGGGTTTTTTTTGTGGTAAAATTAGGTGCCTCGACTTATATTTGGGTCAGCTTATACTTGAGTATATAGGGTATTTTCATCTGTATATTTCCTAGAAATTGACTAATATACCGTATATTCCGGCATATAAGACGACTGGGCGTATAAGACGACCCCCAACTTTTCCAGTTAAAATATAGAGTTAAGATGACTCCCATGCATAAGACTACACCCGCGTATAAGACGACCCCTGACTTTTGAGAAGATTTTCTTGGGTTAAAAAGTAGTCTTATACGCCAGAATATACTGTACATAAACATGAGGGAGCGGTAGCTGGGATAATACATCACGTTAAGCATAGAGCCAACTTGTGGGGTAGTAACAGGCGGTGTCTCTTTTTCTGTTTGTTTTGGAGGTTTTTGATGCACAACCCAACAGAGATGTGTTCAGACCCACTGAAACCTTACCTGGGAAGTTGAAGCGGCTGTCTCGCTGCCCCATGGGAGACTGGTTTGGGGGCGGTGTTGCACTGGGAGGGTTGGACGACTGGAAGGGAGCTGGGGAAGAAGGCGTGGAAGAGGTGGTGGACGAAGGGTTGCTGCTGGAGTCCAGGTGGTTCATCGCTGGGGGGTGGTCCTGGGAGATAGCAAGAGGAAGCCAGGCACGTGAGAATGCAGTCCTCAGCTGCCGTCTAAGCTAGATTTTTGTTTCAAAGCCTTCCCGCTACTCTAGGCTTATGATTCTCCCAGAATTCCACAATTAGTATTGAAATATTGCAATCTGCACCATCGTATTTCAGGATAATGTCCCGAAATCTTTTGGAGACATTGCTGGACCAGATAGGCCAAGCGTCTGTTTAGATGCGAGGGCTTATCTTCCAACCAAGAAAAAAAAAACATACATGGTTCAATATACACCAGCAACATGTCAACATAAGAATGAAAATGATCCTGTTACATGTGCCACTAAATGCATACGTGGCATTTATTTATTTATTTCCTATATTTTTTTCTCTGCCCCCCCCCCTACATCCTATCTTTCCTTCTTTCTCTCTTTCCTTCCTCCTTCCCTCTGTCTTTCTCCATGCCTTCTTCCTTACCTTCCACCCTTTTGTCCTTCCTTCCTACCCTCTTTCTTCCCTCCTTTATTCTCTCTCTTTCTCCTACCTTCCTTCCTTCCCTTTGGTCTTTCCTCCCTTCCCTTCCCCCCTTTCTTCCTTCTTTCCTCCTCTCTTTCCTTCTTCCTTCCTTCCCTCCCTTACCTCCTTCTTTCTCCCTCCTTACTTCCTTCCCACCCTTTTGTCATTCCTTCACTGTCCTCCCTCCTTTCTTCTCTCTCTTTCTCTCTCCTTCCTTCCCACCCTTTTGTCGTTCCTTCCCTTTTTCCTCTCTCCTCCCTCTCTTTCTCCTTCCTTCCTTCCTTCCCACTCTTTTCTCATTCCTTCCCTATCCTCCTTCCCTCTCTTTCTCCTTCCTTCCTTCTCACCCTTTTGTCATTCCTTCGCTCTGTCCTCCCTTCTTCCCTCTCTCTTTCTCCTTCCTTCCTTCCTTCCTTCCTTCTTTTCCACCCTTTCACCATTCCTTTCCCTTTTCCTCCCTCCTTCCCTCTCTTTCTTCTTCCTTCCTTCTTTCCTTCTTCTCATTTTTCTTCCTCCTCTCTCCTTCTCCTCTCTCTTTATCCTTCCTTCCTTCCACCCTTTTGCTTCCTTCCTTTTCCTCCCTCCCTCCCCTTCCTCTATCTTCCTTCCCTTTGTCCCTCCTTCTTTTTCCTTTCTTCCTCTTCTCCCTCTCTCTTTTCCTTCCTTCTTCCTTTCCTTTTTTTAATAAGTTTTTATTAGTTTATCACAATTATTACATACTATTGCATTTTCTACATCAACCTCTTTAACATGTTATTTTGTTGTTTTGCTTTGACATTCCTCCCCTTTTTTTTCTCTTTTTTTTTTTTTCCCCACCTCCGTGCTCCCCTCCACCCGTTTCAAGCCACATTTCTTACATTTCATCAGTCCAAAATTTCATTTCTTCTTGTGACGGTAATTTTCCTTCCTTATTTTTTAATCCATTTATCACAAATTTCCCCCATATAGCATCAAAATCACTTTGTTTCCATATACCTTTTTTAACCTTTAATATACATGTCAGTTTATCGTTTAAAGCTAATTTCCATGCTTCCTTATACCACTCCTCTATTTGTATATTCATTTCTTTTCCAATTCCTTGCTATAAGCAGTCTTGCTATAGTTAGTAAGTTTGTTATCGCTTCTTTATCCTCCTTTTTCAATTGCTTATTGGTATATAATGATAGTAAGGCTATACTAGGACTTTTATCTATTTTCATATTCATTATAATTTCTATTTCTCTAAATACTTTCTCCCAAAAATTATTTACATATTTACATTGCCACCACATATGTATATATGTTCCTGGTTCTTGACACCCTCTCCAACAATTTATTGAATTATTCTTATTCATGTATGCTATTCTTACCGGTGTTAAGTACCACTTCCATACTAGCTTATAATAATTTTCTTTAACTCGTATCGATAAATTTTTTAAATGTCTTTGTCCCCATAACTGTTGCCACTCTATTTCGCTTATTTTTATCCCTAAATCCTCTTCCCAAATCTCCTTAAGGGTACACTTTTTTATTTTTCCATCCCTTCATTTCAATTAGTATCTTATAAATTTTGCTAATTATACCTCTCAAGTTTTCGTGTTCTTCTACAGCCCTTCCCTTCTGTATTATTTGTTCGAATTGATTGAGTTGGCTTCCACTTCTATTATTTTTTTTCCAGTTTATTAACCATTGTTCTAATTGTATACAATGAAACCATGACAATTTTATTTCTTTAAACTCTTCCAACATCCTTTCCCTCTTCATTTCCACCTTCATCCAATCCCCTATTCTATCTAAATTTATTTCCCTTACCTTTTTATCCATTACTTTTTTAAAAATTTTTGGGAATTTCTTTTCCATCACTATTGGGGTTATAATTGATCCCTCCTTTATTAACCTCCCCTTATATTTATTCCATACTTTCAGTATGTTACTCAGCATTGGGTTTCTAATTTCCCTCATTTCTTTTCTAGTAAACTGTTTAAAAAATATATTCCAAGTTTCATCTTCCACTTTTCCTGAATCATTACTAAGCCAATCTATTCCCTTTTTTTAACCATTCCTTCTATAACCAAATTTAATCTACTTGCATCATAATATTTTTTTATATTAGGTAATGCTAGTCCACCCTCCTTTTGCGATCTATACCATATTTGTTTATTTAGTCTATTTTTCTTACTTCCATTGCAGTACTTATTAATCATTTGTTGCCATCTAGTTAGTTCTTCCTCTGTGATTTGAAGTGGTAGCATCCTAAATATAAAATTTATTTTTGGAAGTATTTTCATTTTTACTAATGCTATTCTTCCAAACCAGGATAAATGTATACCTTCGTACTCTATTAACTTTTTCTGAACTTCTTTTCTTAAAGTTACTACATTTTCTTCCTCTATCTCTTTTAAATCTTTAGTTATTATTACTCCCAAATATTTTAATTTATTCTTAATTCTTATTCCCGTTTTTCTTTGTTCTATGATTTTTTTTCTTCTTCTCTTGTATAATTGAGTAGCATCATTTCTGACTTGTTCCAATTAACTTGTAAACCCGTTGCTTTCCCAAATGTCTCCAAATGTTCTTTTATTCTATCTATTTTCTCCACTATATTTTCTATAAATAACAATGTATCGTCAGCAAATAAGCTCACCTTCTGTTTCTCCTTTTTTCCTAATCCCTCTAAGTTTTTATCATTCCTTATATTATTAGCAAAAAGTTCTATCACCATAGCAAATAATATCGGGGACAAAGGGCACCCTTGTCTAGTTCCTCTAGTCACTTGTATTTCATTTGTCACTCCATCATTTATAGTTATTACTGCTGAATTCTTTGAATAAAATTGTTTTAGTACTCCTTTTATTTTATTTCCCATTCCAAATTTATTCAATATTTCCCTTAATGTCTCCCATTCCACACAATCGAACGCTTTAAAAATATCTAATGATAATATCCCTGCTTTTCCCTTCCCCTCTTTAGCCCAATGAATTTTATTTAGTACTCTCCCTATCAAATTTGACATTTGTCTTCCTTTTATAAACCCACACTGGTCTTCTTTTATATACTTATACATACATTTATTCATTCTATTAGCTAATATCGCGGATAATATCTTTGCGTCTTGGTTTATTAATGATATGGGTCTATATGACCCTGGATCTGTTAAGTCTTTATCAGGTTTGGGTATTAATATTATTAATGATCTCCTCCATGAGTCGGGTATTTTATCTCCCTTCATTATTCCGTTATATAATTCCAATAATTTTGGGGTTAAAACTTCTCTAAAGCTTTTATAGTATTCCGTCCCTAAACCATCCAAGCCTGGGGCTTTTCCTACTTTTAATTTATTAATGACTTCCTCTATTTCTTTTTTCTTAATAGGTTGTTCCAATAACTCTTTATCTTTCTCCTCCAGCTTACTCTCCCAATTTTCTTCCACATATTTCCTAATTGCTTCTATGGGACTTGCTTTAGTTTGATATAGGTTTTTATAAAATTCCTCAAATACTTTCAATTTATCTTTCATAGCTCTACATAATTTACCTGTTTTATCTTTTATCGTATTTATCATTCCTTCCATTTTCTTTTTCTGTGTTGATTTGGCTAGCATCTTTGAATTCCTATCACTAAACTCAAAATATTCCCTCCTTAAATAAATTAAATTTTCTTGTACTTCGTCTATTTCCATTTTATCCAATTCCTCTTTTTTTGCTCTCAACCTAGCATAAATTCGTATATCTCTCTTTATTACATATGCTTTTTCAATCTCTTCTATTTCTCTTTCTAAGTTCCTTTTCCTTTCTTCTTGCCTTCTTTTTAAGTTAATTGTCTCTTTTATACATAACCCTCTGGTCACTGCTTTCATAGTGTCCCATAGAACTCCTTTTGTCACCCCCTTTTCGTTAAAGCCCCATATTTCTTGCCATTCTGCTTGGACTTTATCTACTATCTCTTTATGATTTAGTATTCTTGTATTTAACCTCCACCTTTTCATTTTGTCATAATCACATTTCAACGCAACCTCAATTGAAACCAAAGCATGATCCGAAATCTTAATCATACCTATATCAGCATTTAGCACTTTGCTTGTCATGTTTTTGGAGACAAAAATATAATCAATTCTTGTATACACCTTATGTACTGATGAATAATATGTGTATCTACTTTCATTCCCTTTTACCAATCTCCACACATCCTTTAATTGCCATTTATTCATTACTCTACTTAATTCCGTTGTTTCAATGTTTCTAGCTTTTGATGCTATCGTAGTTTTATCCTTCTTTAAATCCATACAGCAATTACAATCTCCTCCAAATATTACATTTTGTTGATGGTAATTCTCTATTTGCTCTAACACTTTTTCATAAAATTCTTGCTGTTTTACATTTGGTGCGTATACATTTACTAATACATATTTTTCCTCCCCTATTTCCCCATATATTATTATATATCTTCCCTCTTCATCTTCAATACCTTGTTTATGACAAAATTACATTTCTTTGCTATTATTATTGCTACTCCTCTTGAC